TGGAAATTAAGTGCGCTTAAACAGGAATTATGCAAGAGTTAAATCTGCCCATTACAGGTCTTTCTTTAGACCTTAATCGCCGAAATATAGAGGAATCGTGTATTTACCTTGTCTCAAAATTTCAGCTCAAAATATTAAGTAGTGTGCTCGTGAACTTCAAAACTGCTTATCCGGACACATAACCCTTTTAAGATTTCGGGACAATTTTCTCTTTGGGTGACCTGATAATCGATTCCCGTTCCTTTAGAGGTTTATACCTACAAATTATTTTTTTAAAATAAAAGTCTGGTTTTATCCAGACACCACATAATACAGCTTGCAACACAAATTTCCATTTTCGGGTGAAGACTGACAGGTTTAAGTTGTTTGAAAAGTTAGTTGCTCGACCCTAAGGTAGAGGATTTTAAGGGATTTTAACACAAAAATTGGGGAGGCTCCTATACCGTAAATTCCGCGCCTTCGGCGCTCGCTGATAATCGGCGGGGCCGTCTGTAATGCTAACGGGATTTTGTTCGGGCATTTCAAGTCTACCCCCTAACATTCATCAGGCCTACATGCAATTAAGCACAAAAACAGTATGTTGTGCAGCAACCGATTAAGCAAGGTTATCGCCGTTACCTATCACACGACTTTATATAGCTTCTAGAACTTTTAACTTGAACTTTCTCAGCAAATACTGCTCGCATATGTAAATAGTGTTTTATTCAAGATAAATTATAATTTTAAATAAGTGTTTTATTCACGATATATTATGTGTAAATAGTAGTATGTAAACGTTTAAAAATTCGACTGTATTAATATTATGTATTATGCAAATTCAGGTATCTGAGGTAGAAACATTTTTATTATTATTATTATTATTATTATTAACTGGATTATACATTTCCTTCAAGCTTAAAGTAACAACTTATAAAAACCAAGCACGTAAAAAGGCCGCAACAGAATTCCATAATTTACAATAAGTGATATTATAGCTCAGATAGGGATAGGCAATGGGCAATATTCAAGATGATTGTATTGTAAGAGCGTGACCCGTTAGAATTTCTAAATTAATAGGCTATTCAACAATTGATCTGGCCCCGAGCTCACAAAGCATTCTCAGACTTAAATTAAGAATTTACTCAAAATTGTTCGCCTTTTTAAAACTAAAATATAGCCCTCTATGAAACTTTAGTTGTTTTAATGTTTTAAATGCATCAATAAGAAACTATGTGCAAGGTTTTGTGTTTGTGGATCAGCGATATTTCTCATAAACAGTGATAAAAAGTTGAGTAAATTCCAATCTGATTAAAACACAGATCCTATTTCGTTTCGTTTTTTATAGTTCAAAATATCGTTTTACTTGTCTTTACTACACTAGGATCTTGAAGAGTTGTTATATTACCTGCGTTTTGGTTAAAGTGAGGGATTAGCCATGCACGGAACTGTGGGTAACCCACTAGAAACGCCAACGCTGATCGATTAATCAATGTCTGACGTCATAGGTCAAAAGCCATTCATACGACCTGACACAACCTTCGAGTTCAGCTTGTCAGATCTTCATGTAGAGTAGGCCATCGAAAGTATAAAAAAACGAAACGAAATATAGATCTGTGTTTAAATCAGATTGATTATAAGATCTGATGAGGCCCATTAAGGGCAGGCAGCTAGCTTATGATTTTATGTATATCAGAATGAAGTAAAGTGGGCGCATTTTTATTTATTATATTGAGTAAATCCTTAACTTAAGTCGAAAACTGATCTATGAACTCGGGGCCCGATAGTTTTTTTAACAATTAGTCTGATTAAAAGTTGAGAAAGTTCATCGCGATTTTCTGCCGTGGTTTACCCTTGTCAGTGGTGCAGGATGGAGGGCCTGGCAATGACAGCTGTTTAGTCGTGCGGATGGGACGAAAAACCGAGGTTCCGCGTGCACGTAGAAGATCCCTGGACATTTTGAATTCGATGTAAAAGTAGGCCTCAGCCCCGCTGTCCGGGCAAAATTTCCCTCATAGCATATGTATGGCATATGTATGGCATATGCCCGTCATCATTGGGTCATTCGGAGCAGAACAGTAGGACGTTCAACTTCATTTCATTTCATTTCCAAAGGGCAAGATGTATCGATGATTCATGCCTTTTTTATTGCAAAAGACCCTATTAAGAAAAAGCTTAAATTTCTTTTATTTTCGTCACGAGATGTTTATTGACCTATTTCAATGGCTTGTTTTCGGTTTATAATCTTTACTTTTAGGTTAAGATGGTGCTTTTCGTGAAGCATCGCATATGCCACGGTCAATAGGCTTTTGCACTATCCGGAGCATCCTTTGAATATTAATATTTGACATGAATGATAATTATATTGGGTTGATGTTTTTTAAATATATTTATGTTTTTCACTAAAGTTATTCACAGGTTTTGCCCTCTATACAGCTGTACTATGTCAATATAATTTTTGCATGGTATTTGTTTAAATGTATAGGACCGCAACATTATAAATCAGCATTATTTGTATGAAAAAATATATTTCGTTAAACTATTAAAATGTGTATTATGAAGACAAAAAGAACATTCCAAATGACAAAAAACGGGTATATGCGTAGGTTAAGAACCACCCTCAAATTAGCGATTACACATTTATGTGGTCTTTTAGATATTTATTTGTGATTAGACAGAGAAAACGTTGGATAAAACCACGCTCACTTAAAGGGGTATTATGGAAGATTATATAAATAGCTGACAGCTCGCACTATAATACGTGGCGTGCACAGTGTAAAGGGAATATGCTGAAAATTTCAGTCAAACTGCTCCACTCTGAACCGAGATATTAGCGATTAAATTTTAGACCTAGTCACGAGGTTGGAAGGCCACCCACCCTTCGCCTTGTCACGAACACGCTATGAAACGAAACCACACCACCTGACTCAATGATAGACCTTATGATCTAAAGGGAACGCAGTGGACCATTCAGCCACCCAACACCCCTACTAGGATGTAGAAAAACAATATGAGATGTCAGAGTACTGTCCAAAATGTACGCTCCTTACAGAGAATCGGTGAGATAATGTGTTTGCGTTCTCTTTACGTGGAGGTGAGTGTAGGGTTTGGAGGGGTGGGGGTGGGGTGAGCACGGTAGCTAAGTGGATAAGACGCTAGCTCGCTAGCCTGGGAGGTCGTGTGTTCGACCCCTACATTGGCCGAGAAAGTTCATCGGGATTTCCGGCGTGGTTTCCCCTTGTCAGTGGTGTAGGAAGGAGAACCTGACAAGGACAGCTTTCTAGTCGTTCGGATGGGACGAAATACCGAGGTCTCGTGTATACATTGGCGTGCACGTAAAAGATCCCTTGACAGTTGGAATCGATATAAGAGTAGGCCATAGTGCCGCTGTCCGGGCAAAATTTCCCTCATAGCACACTATATGGCATATGCCCGTCACCATTAGTTCACTCGGAGCAGAACAGTAGGACGTTAAACCCTATTTCATTTTCATTTCTGCAGGATTGGGGGTGGAGGGAATTCTTTCCTGAGTGACCTTAAATTATACAACATCGAAAGTTTAATTACCTACCTATCGAAAGAGTCATCCTCGAATTGAGGGACGGACTGTAATGGTACTTTCTATAGTATTTCCTAATGTTTCCAGCTTATGCACAAATTTAGCGTGCGGCAATCTCTCTAATTCACCAAAAACGACATAGAACTGCCCACAAATTCCGCGAGAACATTATTTTAAGGTGAAACACTACCAATCTGATTAAAATACAGATCTATATTTCGTTTCGTTTTTTTATACTTTCGATGGCCTACACTACATGAAGATCTGACAAGTTATACCGATAGGTCACGTCATGGGTCAAAAGACCGACTTATGGCCCTATGACGTCAGACATTTGATTAACCAATCAGCATTGATGTTACTAGTGGATTACCCACAGTTCCGTTAAAAACACGCCTAAAGCTCGCCGTAACAGACCGTTTCATTGGCTTATCCCTGACACCATTCAGAAAACGAGTTAAATAACAACTCTTCCAGATCCAAGTGCACACTGATCAGCAGTGAATTTTTCGCTAGGCCGCTACAATCACTGATAAGGATGACATCGATGCGACTTAATGAGCCAGAAATATTAAGATTTTTCCTGCGACAAATTAAATTATAAAACATTTTTTTTATGTATGGAAAAATAAATAAAGGCGTTTGACGTATTTGTAGGTAAAAATTATTTCCTATTTAGTGTAAATGGGTATTAAAATGACTAAACGGCAGCATTCCGCCCGGAAAAGTAATGTCTTATGTAAACAATGCACGCGCCATTCAGCCAATGATTGACGCCGCGTGCTGTGACGGCACGTGTTAAGGCAGTCATCTTTAACAGAGATATTACTCTAGAATCGTAATTCTCTGTGAAACAGATTGATCCAAGTGTAGTAAAGACAAGTAAAACGAAATTTTGAACTATAAAAACGAAACGAAATAGGATCTGTGTTTTAACCAGATTGAAACACTACTACTACGGATGCAAGTTTTCGGGGCAATCCAGTTTTGGCATTTTTACACGGCTTAAACCTTTTCATGTGAATATAATACAGCGCCAGACATATAACTAAAAAACATCTCAACATTGTGCATGCTTTCGTGTCTCCTAAACAAAGGTGGGTTAGGTTAGGGTCGGTTAGGGTTAGGGTTATGGTAATCCTAATACAATTTAGCTCGTGGTTAGGTTTAAGAATTTGGGGGAGAGGTTAAGTCTCCACATAAGCACTGACCTAGGATATCATAAATACTGTAGCTATGGGTAATCTTTATTTGTATAGCATTCGTGGGGTAATCTTTATTCGTAAACACGGTGGTTACCAGGTAGGCCTAATCGTATAGTATTAGTGGGGTAATCTGTATTCGTAAACACGGTGATTACCAGGTAATCTTTATTCGTAAACTGTGTAGTTACAAATAACTTTAGGCTTTTGAACAAATCAAAACCGGAGGCATATTTCGTGTATCTTTATTCAAGTCGCCAAAAGTAGATCACTGGGAGGTAACATCGGCGATCCAATCTCTAACGTCTGGAGAACTGGTATCAGCAAAAGTGATTGGAGCGTTATTAGCCGGATTACATGTTGCACTGTAAGTTGGTATAGATATCAAACCATACAGCTCCCAAACACCTCCTGCTTCATTTTTACACATGACCATTCCACCATTATCACCCTGTAAATGACATAGAAATTATTACTCAATCTCTCATATAATGTTACCATATATGCAAAAAATAGGGGATCACGTGGCGAAGTGGGTAAGACGCTAGCTCGCTAGCCTGGAGGTCGGGTGTTCGATGCCTGCATTGGCAGAGAAAGTTCATCCAGATTTTCCGGTGTGGTTCTCCCTTGTCAGTGATGCAGGACGGAGGGGCTGACAAGGAAAGCTGTCTAGTCGTTCGGATGGGACGAAAAACCGAGGTCCCGTGTACACATTGGCGTGCACGTAAAAGATCCCTTGGCAGTTGGAATTCGATATAAGAGTAGGCCGTAGTGCCGCTGTCCGGGCAAAATTTCCCTCATAGCACACTGTATGGCGTATGCCCGTCTTCATTAGCCCAGGTTAGGAGCAGAACAGTAGGACGTTAAACTCCATTTCATTTCATTTCATTTCATGCAAAAAATATAGCATTTATGCCGAGGGGGGCGAAGCTAAAACCGTTAATAAGTGGTCACAATATGAAGGACTTCGTAATATATTGTAAGAGCCACGTCCAATAGCTCATTGTCTTTTTTTAATTTTCTTTTCTTTTTTACCTCAAACAATTTTTTATCGGTCCTCCTAATCAGAAGGAAAGATAATGTTATAGACATGTATATTCTACATATTACCTTCAAAATTTCAATGACTCATAATAAAGAAGGTTTCATAATATTCGAAATTAAAAACACGAATTAGAATTCAATATTGATCAATTTCAATCAATATTGATCAATTTCAATCAATATTGATGTTGTTATCTTGACATGAAACTATAGGATCCTAATATCCAATATTTAAAACACAATTAACATTTTTTAATCAGTGCAGGAGTAGTGCACCCTATGGTTTCTGGTGCCACTTTGTAATGAACAAGTAAAAACATATTCTACAAAACAGTGCGGAAGTGATTAGTAACGGCTGATTCACAAACGACAAAGTAATAATTTAAAAAGCGTGTAGAATGCACTAAACCAATGATTCTCGACGTGCTGCGAAATTTTGAACGGCACTCTAAGTAAATTTCTCACTAAAGAAGCCAACTATTTGACTGCTAAAATTCGAAACATTGCAATAAAGTAAGTTCATAGCTGTGCTTTTCTTTATTTATTTTGAGTCATTCTATGTGTCTATGACTAGTTCGTGTCTACGGTTGTATTCCGTTTATGACTTGCCATGTTTTTATGTGGCTAAAAAAAATATTGTTCATATATATTTAGCCAGGTGTGCCGCTATTTTTTCATGTGTTCCAAGGTGTGCCGTTGGCAAAAAAAGGTTGAGAACCACTGCACGAAGCAAACTTAAACGACTGCCGTTCAATTTTAACTTATCACGTATTTCAACGAACATAATTGATTAGAAAATACATTATTTTTCTTTTTTTTTAAATTGAATATAAATCATTTTACATACATTAATATTGCATTAAAATGTGTTTTTAGAACCATTTTTGTCTATTTCGAGGTTCCAAAGAATAGAGGCACACGCCCTTCATAATAAATTCACAAAATTATGGTTAAGTCAAATGTCCGTCACTTTATGCAAACTTGGGGCGTTTTTGACACAAGAACGCTCTTGGCGGTTTCCAAGGTGATTAGTAAGACGCCATATTTATAATTAAAGCTTTAATATATCTAAATATCATTCATAAAATCTCTACGTGAAGTTTCTGTATCCGGAAAGCTCGTCGAGAGAATGAAAACACGAAGAACGTACAAATATTCTGCATTAATAAATAGTGATGCAGACATTAATAATTATTTATACTTGTAGGAATTAAAAAATACAAAGAAACAAACTTACCAAACAAATGCCATTTTCTAGACTGACCCGACCACATGACGTACCAGCAGGTTGGGATTCTGATTGGCTGAGTATAGAGCAGATTTGTTTGTTGTATAATGTAACGTTGGCATGACGCAGGCTTGCAGAAAGTCCAGCATCTTAAACAATAACAAATATGTGTCTATGATTGATGAAAGCGAATAACAAGTAAATGGTCGGTCAAACCTATGGTTCAGAAAGAAAATCTCATGCACGAATGGAAGATAGATAAGTAAGCAATAGTAAGCAGACAGATGTTTAAATGTCTTGAATCTACTAAGACTGGATAAACCTGGCCTAAAACGTCAGATTCCCTCCTACGTCACTCCTTTTGACCTTGGAGTAGGTTATTCTGTCTATGATATAGGCAGTTTATGTTGTAGTCATTTGGGATGACCATTCAAGAATAGCATGATCTACGGAAAGGTGAATTAAATGTTTATTAAATGCTGTACATTTTAGAACTTGACGTACCTGGTGCTGACTCTGACTGTCCCCATGCAGCTATTTTGCACTGTTTTTCGATCCATTGATCGTTATCATTATTAGCATCTGGTAAACATATAGGACTTCTACAATCACTCATTTCAACTGGTGTATTCAACTCCAAGATTGCCAGATTGTTATCTACAACATGAAACGACAAATTAAAATATAGAGCGTCTGGAATGAGATTTATAATACGAAACGAAGTACCTAACAAAAAATATATGTATTTATAAATCCGTGATTAGGAAGAATAATTATGAGTAGATGTTATCTATAGGATTTGAAAATAATTTGGCTAGATTGTTTTACACCGGGTAAATTACGTTACGTAATTGATCCCGTTGTTCAGATAGCTTTTTCGGCTTCTAAAGCTATAATAAAATATCTGTATATTTTGTGGGAATTAAATAATTGGAATGAAATGGGCTTTACCGTCCTACTTTTCTGCCACTACTGGTCTAATAAAGATTGGGCATACTCCATGCACTGTGCTACAAGTCAAATTTTCCGGATATCAACGCTACGGTTCATGCTTATTTCGAATTCAAATTGACAAGGCTATTTTACGTGCACGCCATTGTGTACAGGCGGCCCTGGGTTTTTGTTTCCTTCGAACTGTAAGACACTATTCATTTCTCGGCCCATCATCTTGCACCGCTGACAACCACAAGGAGCGAACCGAGACCTCCTTGGTGAGCTACAACGGTTTACCCGCCACCACGGCCCACGGGAATTGAATAAGCTTAATGGGTAGTGTGGGGATACGAAGATTACAGGATACTACTACTACTACTACTACTACAACTACTACTACTACTACCACTACTACTACTACTACTACTACCACTACCACTACTACGGCAATTACCTGCCCATACTCCAGTTGTATAATCATCTGGTTTCACGTCCCCTATGGTTTCTCTAATGAATGCCGGATTGAAGGTAACAGATTTAACTCTATGGAATCTCTCACGGGTGGAAGTACCAACTATATCTAATGTGTTAGTAACCTGTTCTCCGGGAATAACCATTGTGTTCTCAGCAACACCACCTTCTTTCGCTAAGGTAGTACTAAAATAAAAGGCAACACAAATCTCAGCTACGCATGTCAGTCGAATGATTTTTACGTATTCTGCCTGTTGTCTGAGAGGTTCATTATGGACCATGACCAGCTCTTCCCACAGCTCCCCACCTAAAAGTGGCCCAGCCCGCCCTGTAGATATAATATATATTTGTTATAATCATTAACTGGTAAATTAATGTTATATATCTTCTTGCCATGATGGGGAGGGAGGGGGTGATTGGGTAAAAGCGGGTGGAGATGCCAAACACTCGAATTATTTATTAAGAATTAAGATATCCCGATTGCTGGTTGGTCTATTATTTTGTGACAGATTAACCCGATTTATGGCTGTTCAGCCCATCTCAGGATGAAGACTAGGTTGTCACGCTTCAAGCTCTAGCTGGTCGGTCACCTCCGACTTGAGAGCATGGTGTCGATGCTGGTGTGGGTACAGGAAAGATCCCTGTACATGTGGTGAATATACTAAAACAAGACAACTTCTCTCGACATCATCATCCGCGAAAGCGAACGCTAAACCCTACGAACAACTACAACTTATCTATTGCAAGTTGAGAGCCATGTCTGGCAAACTAATTACGCCGACTTTGTTTCTTTTAAAATGTATTTTCGAAACACAGTGTTAATTGTTTTACAATACTTACATAATAGCACAAGTCGCGGTTGTTAAGACGTGCTTATCGCTGATGAGCGCGCCTTGACATGAGGGGATAGAGTTTTCAAAGGTGAGAGTAGAATCTGGATTAGCGCGGGCTCGTATCGAGACACTCCATGGCCACATACAGGTATCTGATATCTGCGCGGCTAGGATTCTGGACATCAGATCTCTTACACCACATGTTGGTTGTGGTGGCCCTGGTGGTACAGTTGATGTGGGAGTCTCTGTCGTTGTTTCAACGTAGTCTGTCAAACAAAAGCAGATCATAATCAATAAAGAAATACCTGGTTTATATGGACAATGCAAGAGTGTCTTCTGATTATCGTATCTGTAACATTTTAAGATACATAACAGGTCATATGTGGAGAGCATATATTATCACAAAATACTAAAACCAGCCACAGATATGAAAGTATGTTTATGTGACACATAACAATGAGAAATTACACCAGACTAAATTGCTCCCCACTCAAACAACTATATTGAAAATATTGGTATACTATTTCCAAGCTATAATATACGTCTTTATACCCATGGGTTTTAATAACACTGTTTTAGTAACTGGTCTTTATGTGATTCTTTGACCTGACGGCACAGGTGCGCATGCCATAAAATTCTCTGGTTTATTTTTCGAATCCTTAGTTTCTAGAAAAGTCGTGACCTTTTTTGCCAGAATGTTTGTTCAGCGACAAACTGTATATCTATTCTTTATTCATGGTGTTAATTTTAAATTCAAATACTATCTAACAGGTCCATGGGTGACTAATACAGAGCTTTCAGAATTCAGTACGAATTAAGATATTGCTTACATACCTGGGTTATTTTGACAGCAAGTCTGACCGGCAACCAAACAGTAATTGGTTGACACCTTCTCACTTACCAGACAGTTATCCCGACAGGTCTCATTTGGGAGATAACTGCATGGAACTACAATAGTAAACAAAATACACCCCAATCAAAGTGTGAGTAGCATCTCTATATTCGTCTCTAAACCCCATTACCAATTAAACCAGCGTCTGCTAGGCAGGATACGCCCACATTTTGCAAGAGATGGATAGAGAACAAGCTAAAAACAAACGTGATTTTTTATACAATCAGGGGCAATACCCCAGAAAGTTATGGTCTGAAATGCGCAAATATCAAAAGGGACTGAGATCTTTGGGATATAAAATATGTTTTAAGATTCATACTTTTACACAATTTGCGTACAAAGAGCGGCCATTTTGTTGGGCAGTTTCATTTCAATCAGGGGCCATAATCCAGGAAGTTACGTTCGGATATGCGCGATTATCAAAAGGAACCAAGATCTTAGTGTGTAACGGTGATATATTCACAGGTTGTTTTTTTTTTTAAATCGGATAAAAATTGTGACCTCTAATAAAGGGACCACAAGCTAAAAACGTGATTTTTTTGTACAACCAAGGGCCATAATTCAGGAAGTTACGATCCGATATGAGGGAAAAATTTTGACCTCTACAGTGTCTACAGCCTTGATATACCAGGCGTTTACACTATTTGCGTACGAGGGGCGACCATTTCGTCCGGCAGTTTTGGCCGGATTTTCACGAAATTCGAACTCAACCAGCATTACGGTGTAAGGGTGATATATTCAATGATTGTGACCTCTAGAGGGACCACAAGCTTAAAACGCGATTTTTCGTACAATCAGGGGCTATAATTAAGGATTTTTCGTACAATCAGAGGTTCATAATTCAGAAAGTTACGATCCGATATGTGCGAATATCGAAAGTAACCAAAATCTTTGGGTTATAAACATGCATTTGAAGTTTCATCAAAATCAGATTTTTATTGTGACCTCTAGAGTGTCCACAAGCTAAAAAAGGGATTTTTCGTACTATCAGGGGTCATAATCCATGAAGTTATGGTCCGATACATGCCAATATCGAAATGAACCGAGATCTTTGGGAGATAGGCCTATATTTTAAGGTTCGTCAAAATCGGATAAAAATTGTGACCTGTAGAGTGTCCACAAACAAATTGTGGACGGACGGACGTCCGGACGGACAGGGGTGACGGCATAATACGTCCACATGAAAACAATTAGAAGTTAAAAAGTGTTGTGGAATTCACTACCGTATTACTTTTAAGCAATTACGTGACGAGATACTATGAATTAGTTAAAAAGTCTTTAGAAATTGTTCTCCACTGAACTCCTCACCAAGAATGGGTTCACTGTGGCTAAGTGGGTAAGACGCTGGCTCGCTAGCCTGGAGGTCCTGTGTTCGATCCCTGCATTGCCCGAAAAAGTTCATCCAGATTTCCGGCGTGGTTCCCTCTTGTCAGTGACGCAGGAAGGAGGGCCTGGCAAGGGCAGCTGTCTAGTCGTTCGGATGGGACGAAAAACCGAGGTCCCGTGTACACATTGGCGTGCATCTAAAAGATCCCTTGACAGTTGGAATTCGATATAAGAGAAGACCGTAGTGCCGCTGTCCGGGCAAAATTTCCCTCATAGCACACTGTATGTCGTATGCCCGTCTTCCTTAGCCCAGTCGGAGCAGAACAGAAGGACGTTAAACCCCATTTCATTTCATTTCCTCACCAAGAAAACAATTAGAAGTCAAAAAGTGTTGCGAAATTCACCATCGTTTTTACTTTTGACTAATTACGTGACGAAATAGCAATAAATTAGTTAAAATCTCTTTAGAAATTGTTCTTAAATGGAAATCCCCACACTCAACGTCCCCAATAAATAGTATAAAAAATGCTGTGGAATTCAACACCGTAACACTTTTGAGTAATTACATAACGAAATAGCTATTAATTAGTTAAAATCTTTAGTTAAATGAAAGACTAAAATTACTTACTAAAAGCCTGACTTATCGCCAGAATGGACAAACTACAAGCCAAGAAGAGCATCTTCTTTTTTTTTCAGGATAAAGCAATGCTGCTTGCAAACAATTAACAGTATCTTTGGACAAATCACAAGGTACATAGGTATTTTTATACAAAAAAAATCCTCCAATCGTGAGCTCGCTTTTTCTACGATAAATATAAAATTTCAGGATTGCCAATTAAATTTATTGTACAACGTTTACAGGCTACTTGTGTTGCATTGTAATTTTTGTGAAGTGATCTGTAACAAAGCCGGACATTTAATACTGTCAGAGGTGAAAGTAACACTGTTCATACAATAAGACGAAAACAGACTTCATGAGTGACAGGTATTTTTTCAACGATGATAGGTATAATCTACTATATACAATGGCGGTCATCTTGAAAATTTCATAATGGCAACTGCTGTAAGTGCATTTTCAATGTGTGAAGTCGGATGTACTAGCCGGGTGCAGTTGGCATTCGGATTTAGCTTCTGGCATTTATAGTTTTGAAAATAAAAATGAATGTATAAAACCCAGCGTCCTGGCCATTTTTTTTTAAATCCAATATGTCGGCTGTTGTAAGTGAAGTTAAACAGTCGGATATATTCACGAGGTACAGTAAGCGAAAGAATTTTATTGATGACATTTATAGTTTTTGACACAAATGAATTCTATGAAATGCAATATGGTGGTTGTTTGGCAGAATCTCTGATAACTCCATAATGTTCCGGCTTAGTATATTATTCCATTCTGATTAAAATACAGATCTATATTTCATTTCGTTTTTTTTTATACTTTCGATGGCCTCTACTACATGACGATCTGGCCCTATGACTTTAGACATTTGATTAACCAATCAGTGTTGATGTCTCTAGTGGGTTACCCACAGATCCATGCTACTCACGCCAAAAACTCATCGAAACAGACCGTTTCATTGGCTAATCCCGCACATCAATAGGAACGCGGGTTATATAACAACTCTTCCAGATCCTAGTGTAGTAAAGACAAGTAAAACGAAATTTTGAACTATAAAAATGAAACGAAATAGGATCTGTGTTTTAATCAGATTGGTCTACATTTTTATTGCCGCTATAAAATACCGGATATGCTGGGGGGGGGGGGGGGTTATAGATATACTACATAGATATTCAAAAGGGTCATGATTTAATCTTCAATGGAAAACCCCTTCTTTTTATAAAGTTAAAGAGCCAATCTCGATTATATTTTCGAGAATAAAACTACTTAATTTTGGTTTAAAACCCCTTAAAACTCTCTACCCTAGGGCCGAGCAACTAAATTAATATAGATGATACGTTTTCAAACAACTTTATCCAGTCTTCATCTGGAATTGGAGACCGGTGTTCCAAACTGTGTTATAAGGTGTCTGGATAAAACTACGCTTTTATTTTATAAAAATAACGTGTTGGTGAAATTTACCTTTCGTTATCAAGTACAGCACGTGGGTCATCCACTGTATAGAAATCTAAAGGAACGGCATTAGATTATCAGGGCACCCAATGAAAAAATTGACCCGAAGGCCGAAATATTAAAAGGGTTACGTGTCCGGATAAGCGGTTTCAATATTTTGCACTGAAATTCTGAAACGAGCTAAATACACAATTCTTCTATATTTTGGCGCTTAAAAAAGTACACGGACTTTTTAAAAATTAAAAACACTTATATGGATATACTACTTCTTGTGAATTTATTAACATGCTACGTTTCGATACACATACAGATATCGTTATCAAGCAACGATATCTGTATGTGTATCGAACCGTAGCATGTTAATAAATTCACAAGAAGTAGTATATCCATATAAGTGTTTTTAATTTGTGAAATCTACCTCTATATGTCTTATAAGGATTATACACGGACTTTAAATTCTTTGTATTTCAGATAACTTGAAATCCTTCTTTTTCAAATAAGGTTAAATTATTTTGTTTCAGATAACTTTCAAAAAATCTTCTTTTTTACATAAAGATCACTTGAAAACCTTCTTTTTCACATTGAGATAAATTATTTTTCATACAAAGTTCAATTATTTTTGTTTGAGATAATTTGAAAACCTTTTTTTTTTAAATAAAACACTGCACCAGGGCCGTATCTAGCGGGGGTGCAGGGGGTACATTGCACCCCCAGAAAAATATGCCCCCCCCCCCCAAAAAAAAAAAAAAAAAATTTGATAACCTTTCAATCATAAAATAATACACTTGATTATGATCACACTGTGATGCTCTTAAGGCACTAATCAGTCGGTCTTTTTTTAAGGGCGCCCACATTCCAATGGGTAACTTGGGCATTATTTTGGCGCCCCTCCACTCTGCCCCCCCCCTCCACTTTTAAAATCCTACATACGGCCCTGCACTGAACTTCCAATTAATATAAAATAGTTATATATGTGATAAGCAATTATTAACAAATAAAACTTTTATTAACGTTATTTGATGAACGTGCTGTTTAACACATTTCTAAGCGCTGAAAGAATATAGTACGTGTACATTATGTATAAAGTCCCCATTATTATCGATGTAGGACATGTTATAGTACCCACCCAGAGTAGTCTCATGGCCACTCTTGTCCACTTCAACTAATTCCAGGTCAATTAAAGAGAATTGAAGCCACGTCGAGATAGGTAAATATAATAGATAGATAAATACCGAGAAGAAGAGATGAATTATTGTCAATGTCATCTTCTAAACGTTGGTACGTTTTCTTCATTCAAGTTGCTTTTTCAGAACAATATACTTTCACTTGTTCATGAAAATTTCCATAAAAAATAACCGCCTTCATTACATATAAACGAATTACTATCTCATGGAAATAATATGATACAGACCTGATCTCGTCATATACAAACCAGTTCACACATTCATGTCTATTGGAACAGTAAAACATAATAGGCTAATTACTGGACCACAGTGGGTTATCTAGATATTGGTTAGTTGCTAGTTGTCCTTTCTGTGAATATTGTCATACCTATAGTGGTGGTCCTGCTGTTCTGTACCGAATGGGCTAATGAAGACGGGGAAGAAACGCCTTACAGTTTGCCCGGTCAGAGACACTGCGGCCTACTCATATATCGAATTTCAACTGTGTGTCAAGGGTTATTTTATGTGCACGCCATTGTGTACACGGGACCTCCGTTTTTTGTCTCATCAAATGATTACACATTACCCTTTGTCATGTCTTACGTACTGTATCACTGACAAAGGGAACCAAACCGGAAATTCCCGTTGACCTTTCTCGGCCAACACCAGGATCGAACACAGGTGATCCGGGTTAACTAGCCAGTGTCATTCTAACTGAACCACCATGGCTCCCTGGTAAATAGTGTCAGCATCTGAAAATTCCTTCATACTATTAGCTGTGACCTGATACAAATTATCATTTATTGAGAACAGTGCAGAGAGGGGAGAGGAATGGAATACGGTCCCGTGTATCCCTTTTAAGTTTTAAGGGGACATCCAGACGGAGAGTGAAGTGAAATCAAGCGGTTTAATTTTAAAATTATCGCTGTTAACTTTATTGCACAAGCTGTCACTGACTGAGAATGTCACATAGCCCATTGTGCTTACTGTATTGTGGAATGTATGTGAGGGCAGGTCATTGTTTAGTATATTAAGTAATGGCACAAATTACCCCGCTGCTCTGTAAAGAAATAAAGAATTAGGGAAATACAGATAATGTATCATCGCTTTTGGTACTATTTTTTTTGCGAGATGGAAAGTAGCATATCTGGGTAAAATATCTCATTTGTTTAATACAAAGCATAAGGCTTCAACATATGGCGAAATTCAAAAATTCCTCGCGCCCGAATAAAGACAACCACCCCGGCCCCCTTCGTCCCAGTGCTTCAGGTTCATTTAAAATATGCCCTGTTTGAGAGAGGGGCGTAAATGTTTCTTTGATTTTTTTTAACTTTTTGTGTAGGCTTAAAGATGCTTTCTGTAAGCGCTAAATCTGCCTATTGCAGATCTTTATTTTGGACTCAAATGTTATATAAATTATTATTTAGACATTTATTCACACAAGCTTATAATCAACTCTCTAGACTATCGGATGGCCGAGATCTAAATGGATTTGAATTCATTTTTCATTATCTATTTTTGATCTATTACAGCAAGACTGACCAGTTCTTTATCTAAATCTTAAATCTTGGGTAATATAACAGTTGAATAATACTGTAGAATTGTCAGATATCATATACCAGGGCCCTGTTTCACGAAATTTTAACTAAAGATAAAATCCAGATTTTAGTAGATACTTCAATTTTGATTGGCTAAGCACTTAAATCAATCTAATATTATCCAATCAAATTACTAAAATTTGGATTTTATCTTAGTTAAAATTTCGTGAAACAGGCCCCAGGCTCGTAGCTAGTTTAGAAGGGGTGGAGGCAAAGGGGCAGCTGCTCTACCCCGTGGACAAAAGCCAGTGAACAACGTGCCCATATCAGCATGGGTGTCCTATAAAGCCGAGTGATATTATTTGAGTGCCCACGGCGAGATTGGCGTGGCGCCCAACCAATTGGGGGAACCGATTCTTTCCTCAATAGGCAAAGGCACCATTAGGTGCGCCGGTGTTTTTGCCGGGGGAGGCACCTGTCCTTCTTACCCCCCCCCCCCCCCCCCCGATAGTTACGGGCCTGCGAGGACCGTCAAGTGTATGTAGATTAGCCCCACCAGAAGCCCCAGAACATTTTTGGGGCTAGCTACGGACCTGTACACAAAGGATATCTAACCATGATGGGGATCACGGTGGCTCGCTAACCTGTAGGTCGGGTGTTCGATCCCTGCATTGGCCGAGAAAGTTCATCCAGATTTTTAGGCGTGGTCCCCCCTTGTCAGTGATGCAGGACGGAGGGCCTGACAAGGACAGCTGTCTAGTCATTCGGATGAGACGAAAAACCGAGGTCGCGTGTACACATTGGCGTGCACGTAAAAGATCCCTTGACAGTTGGAATTTGATATAACAGTAGGCCGTAGTGCCGCTGTCCGGGCAAAATTTTCCTCATAGCACACAGTATGGCGTATGCCCGTCTTCATTAGCCCTGTTCGGAGCAAAACAGTAGGACATTAAAACCCATTTCATTTCATTTCATTTCTAACCATAATGATTATGCATTATTTTTAAATGACCATATTTCTTTCTTCATTTTTGATTGGCTAATTTTCTAAATTGAAAACCTGTCAGTCAACGGAAAGTATGTCAATTACGATACCACAATCCCGACAATGACGTGTATCGGTATTCACTCTTCAACATCCGGGTTCATCACAATTATTCGTAAGTTTCTTATTTGATAGCTTTTAGGATGAAAAGAAGAAAATCAAATGTAAATAGGTCTTTCTAAGAACAAATATGGTTAATAACGTATTCACAAAACTGTAGTGGGCTTATATTTTTTATCAATGGGGAATCCTTTTGTACCATGAGTTTAAGAGGATATATCAAATGTCCAGTTCTAAGTTTATCCTTGAACGTATGAAAGTGGTGTCGCACTAGTGTCAAGCTGTTGTTCTATATAACAGAATGGGACTGCATACAAATTTTATAAAATAAAACAAAACCACGTCCGTGTACAAAGTGTCAGTACTGGGCTCTGATGCCAAAGCGGATCCAAAATTAACGGCAAAAAAACTTAAAGATGGGGAAAATAGCAAATGATTTACTAATTCTGCTACCGAGCCGATAGTAGAAATGTCATTTACTGGAAAACTATCGATAGTAGAAAAAAAACTTACTGGTATACTATCGATAATAGAAATGATACTTACCCGAATACTATCGATAGTACCAGCATGATTTCTTCTTGTTCATTGGTGTAGGGCTGGGGGCCTGACAAGGAAAAGCGTCTAGTCGTTCGGATGGGACGAAAAACATACGTCCCGTGTACCTAGTCTTGGTTTATCGTTCAGTTTAAAGCAGTCGTTTCCAACGGAAATGTTTTATTAGATAAAAAAAATACTGATATGACATCAGCGGTGCGGGGGTATCGCATACAATGTCCAGGAAATGCACCTTTGAAAGGATATTTTAAGGCTAAATTACGTTTAGTGCGTGAGGATGCATGAGAGTTGAACGCCTGGATGATCGACTAGTTTCTTTGAGAAATCTTGACAGATCGGTGTTCAAGAGAAAACCGATGGGTCCGTTTGACAAAAATTTATTGTAAAGTTAAGACCAGAGTTTTGAAAACATGAACTGCATGGGTTGCCTTTTATACAGGGTTCGTTATAAACGACGTTTGCTGTATTAAATCAAACTGTTTCAACACTACTGAAACGGGTGATAAGGATGGTATTTGATTTAGTAGAATATGGTACTGAAACAGGTGATAGGGATGGGTGTTGATCTAGTGGTATATGATATAATACTGAAACAGATGATATGGATGGGGGTTGATTTAGTGGAACATGGTGCTGAAATGAGTGGAGTTGATCTAGTGGTATATGGTACTGAAACAGATGATAAGGGTGGTATTTGATCTTGTGGAATATGATACTGAAACAGGTAATAAGGATTGGATTTGATCGTCTGGAATATGGTAATGGAGATAAGGATGGGGTTTGATTTAGTGGTAAAATATGGTACTGGTGATAAGTGGGTTTGATCTTGTGGAATACGATACTGAAACAGGTAATAAGGATGGGGTTTGATCTAGTGGAATATGATACTGAAACAAGTGGATTTGACTTATTGGTATGTAGTACTGAAACAGATGATAAGGATGGGGTTTGATCTTGTGGAATATTATACTGAAACAGGTGATAAGGATGGGAGTTGATCTCCCGAGAGAAGGGGTTTAACGTCCACGCAACATAATTTAACGAGGTCATTTCGAAACTAACGTAATATCTTATTTCAATAATTAGCTTGGTATCGAAACCACGTCGTTTGTCCCAATGACAGATCCTAAAACGGTCGCATTAGACCACTTGGCCACCCAAAGGGAATCCAAAGCTGCTAGCCACATAAAGTTATAAGAATAACATCCGAGACTATTCCAGATAAGCCATCTTCATAGACATTTAAACCCATTTCATTTCATTTCTATATTAAAGATGAGTGTTGTATGGTCGTCTCTTACCGTGCAACTTATAAGGAATAACACAGGTAAGATTTTATCATGGTAACAATGTCCCAGCTATACCGACAATACTATATACCGGAAAGCACCGGAAAACAACCGAAAAACACACAAAAAAACAACCGGAAAACTACCGGAAAACACTAAATACCGGAAAACACACTAAATACCGGAAACACCCTAAATAGGTAATCCAGATCCTGGTCCTCTGTTTGCAGGGAGTTAGGATTAGGGTTAGATTTTTCCGGTGTTTTCCAGGAGACCAGCGGTGGGTTAGGGTTAGGGTTAGGTTTTTCCGGTGTTTTCCAGAGGACCAGGCTCCGAGTTACTTATTTAGAGTGTTTTCCGGTATTAAATGTGTTTTCCGGTATTCATTATAACATGGTGTTTTCCGGTTGTTTTCCGGTGTTTTCTGGTATATAGTATAGAGAGATAGATAGAGAGAGAGAGAAATGGGGTTTAACGTCCACTCGACACAAACTAGGTCATTTCGGGACTAACATATGGTTTAATTTTATTCCAATAATTCGCTTGCGCATAGGGGTCTTTAGCAGTGGGAGGAAACCGGAGGACCCGGAGAAAACCCACGGGGTTGGACAGGCGACCCTACTCCTTGTCACGTACAACCGGGGATTCGAAACCGCGCCAGTCGACTCAATGACAGACTTTATGATACAGCGCGCGCACGCTAACCATTCAGCCATTAGAGAGAGAGAGAAATTGGGTTTAACGTCAACTCGACACAAACTAGGTCATTTCGGAACTAACGTATGGTTTAATTTTATTTCAATAATTCGTTTGCGCGTAGGGGTCTTTAGCAGTGGGAGGAAACCGGAGGACCCGGAGAAAACCCACGAGGTTGGACAGGCGACCCTGCTCCTTGCCACGTACAACCGGTGAATCGATACCACGCCAGTTGACTCAATGACAGACTTTATGATACAGCGTGCACACGCTAACCATTCAGCCATCCAACCCCCCCTATATAGTATAGCCCCAGCTATATATAGTTATTGCACAATGATATACGTGGACTGAAGGATAGTAAAGTCTACAAAAACTAAATGAAAACGTGTTCTCAGAGGCGTGTTCAGGAATTTGTGCAAGTGGTGGGTTCGGGGTGGAGACAGCCTCAAGTTTGGCGTGAGGCCTCGGGGATTAGGCCTAACCGAGAGTATTATGATATTCCGAGACAACATTCTGCTTATTTAGGTGCATACATGTATTGGATTAGGATACAGTGAGGCCAAATTTGCGGCAATGCTTCGCACGTTTGTTGGTTCGATGTTATGACGATTAATGTATAAGAAAAGAAAAACAATGCTCTGTGCGAGCGGGGGTTATCGGATTTCTTCGCCCCCCCCCCCCACTGGACACGCGCGACTGGTTTTTGATATATGTACATGTATAACCGAATGCATGTTTTCTAAGGACAAAAATTGAGAGAGGGCTTTCTTTGTTTAGGCTATATGGTATATAGAATTCATAAAGGACATTTTTTGATAAATAGAAACAAATACTTCATACATGTTTTATTTACTAGGTTTGTCAAGTTCTGTATAAATATCAACATGACAAATTCAAATTAATATTATTGTAAATACATGATTTGTAGACCAAACCATACAAAACGTTTTTAAAATTATTCGCCTATATTTTTGAAGTTGGTTTTAGAAATTTTGTTAAACTGTTCCAATATTGATATTACTCGGTCTTTGTGCGAGAAAAGAGGGCGAAATATAAGATACTATGATGACAAATGAATAAGACGGTCGTATAAGAAAAATGAGAACAGAAGTAATATAATAAACGCCCTGTAATTATTGTAAACTGTTAATATGAAATTGAAAAGACCCTATTTTAATTTAATGTATGCATTGATATAATGGATTAGAATGATTTTTATAGTTAATATTTGTCATGTCAACATTTGCAGTTAAATATTTCTAAAGACTGTCGGTTTCTTTTGCTGTGTTAAATAAAGTACCAAATCCACACCTCATTTTACAAGTGTTCAGCTGTTACAAATATTTTGTTTTTTTAATAATTTTTGAAACTTAAAAGTAAATTGACAACAAAATGTTAAAATGAAAGTCGTGTGTACACTGTTAGAAATAAATGTTAATTTACCATAAGAATGTGGTAAAATATTTACGTAGTTGTATGTTTTATTTACATATGTATGTTTTATTACACCAAAACAGGAGTGATAGTACAAATAGTCGCAAAACCCCCATATTATACAGGTGATTTTACACTGAAATATTTCATTTTACAAACGTAAGGTGAAAATACAGTACCGTAGCTCAAATTGGTTGTCGTAAAAAGTTGATATCACAGAAATATTCTATTCAATAGTAATGAAATCAAAAATTGAAATAGTTTTGCTAACATTTCTCAACACACAACCAATTAACAGTGATTGTTGAAGTCCACAACCAAATAGCAAATTTATGTAAAATTACAATATTACAATAGTACAAGTGTTTTTTGTACCTCAATTGTCGGTATATTTTACAACATATACTACTTTTACCAAGTCTGATCTATTTTGACCGAATTTCATGTATGTATATCGAGTTTCATGTCTTTTAGGCAATAAACGGCGATGAAATCGAAGACATGTTCAAAATCCGGTAAAAATACATTCTTACATATTATGTCATAAAATCGAATTGAAAGTAACGAAGCAAGCATGTAACTTTACAGATTTTATGTTTATTCACGTTATTATGTAATTTACTTTTAGGTAAGAATATAAGTAAAATTACAGTATTCGTGTTTACCGTAAAATGTTAGGAATATTTACCAATATTCAAAGGGCACATTCAACATTCGGTAAAAATACATGCTTATTATGTAATAACGCAATATTGAACGGAAAATAACATAGCCAGCATGTTATTTTACAGATGTACGTTTATTCACGTTATTTTGTAAATTTACTTATTGATAGTTATCGTAATCGGTAAATTTACTCTCTTATTTCATTTTATTATTCGTTAGTAGCTAAACATTCCTAATAATTATCTTCTTATAGTATTCATTTCAATTTGTTAAACATAATATGGGCAATCATATTTTGTAAATTTTGGTATAATGCGTGTTATGTATATCTAGTTTCCATTATTTATAAGATCTTTAAAGTGTATTGATATATATCGTACATTAATCAGTTTTTAAGTATTTTCTTAAATGTATAAAAAAAAAATGTTTTGACTTTCTTGCCTTAGGTTGTATTATCTCGTTTTCAAGTTCACTTCAAGGCGGTTAATTAAACCGATTGGCCAGTGTTAGTTGGACCAGCAGGCTGTTTGTAAAGCAGGGTTCTAATGTCTGCAAAGTATACCGCGAGCTTGCATCTGAAAGCCTGGAACCATGCCCTCGTCTACCAAGCAGGATTATTGATATTCAATATATATTGAAGTAATGTTAATACGAAATATTTTACACCGGGGCTACTGGTTACTAACTCTCAGCAAAAGTTGCCCGAATCCTGCATGTAAAATTTCCAATATTTAGTATTTTTAACAAAAGTGTAAATTAACAGTGTGATGTATTTTTACAAGAAATGTAAATTAACATTGTGATGTATTTTTACAAAAAAATGTAAATTAACAGTGTAATGTATTTTTACAAGAAATGTAAATTAACATATATATGTCCTATATATATTGTTTTTTGGGGGGCCTGGACGGGACCTTGTTCCTCATGCAAAATCATGGGTCACCGCAACCCTGCCCCCACCCCCGCGCCCCGGACACACACACACACACACATCTATCGGGAATCCTGTATATAGTTCACTGTACTCTATGAGCTATTTATCCCAGCATATACATACATGTATACCACGATATATTCGGATCGTGACGCTAACATATCATTCCTTTGCTTTAAAAAAGGGGGGTTGTTAATAGATTGTTGATGAATGGAGCACGGTATTGAATTAATCGTTTAACCCAAGTCACGATCTATTTTTATTCTATTGGTTTTCTGTATAGAGCAGAGCATAGTAAGGTGTGGATGTTTGTACGGGTGTTGAATGATAAAACCTACAATATTATTGCCTTTCATCCTGTGTATACAAAATGATAGTAATAATTCTTGTGATGTACATACTAATGTCAAATAACATGTGTACGAACTTCTTTATATATAAAGGTATTTCCCAAAATAAAGAAAGAGAGAGAGAAATGGGTTTAACGTCCACTCGACACAAACTAGGTCATTTTGGGACTAAC